ACAGCCTTTCACGAGTTTGTTCGTTACGGATACCGGTTATCAGGCTGTTATGGATTGTGTAACGCCTGATATGATTGTCGCTGGCCCGATTGGAGCACGCCTACGATAATTGCTTGTAACGCTGGCCAATCGAACGGAGTTGCGCTGACCTGATGACGCTAGCTTAGCCGGGTGAGACGGAAAATTGAGCGAGCGTGTGACCGATCCTAGCCGCAAGTGTTCGAATAGACGCTGACCCCTCGGAACGGGCGCACACGAGAGGGAGGTACGATAGACGCGCGCTAATGACTTAGACGCGAAGGATGGCCAGCTAACGACTCACACGCAATTACGTGACCCGACCGACTCCCAACTGAGGCGAAGAGAAAAAAAGGCAAGTGGTCCTCTGTAGGCTCTTTTACGACCGACAAAGGGCGATCACAGACAGTGCTATGGGTTATTAAGAGGGGGTAGTTTGCAAATGACCATTGTCAAAAGGTTCGCAGTTGGGACGCGCCTCGGAGTGGCTGAACACTGCTGCGTTGTGGGGAGAAATTGGACTCCGCTTCCCACAGCCATTATGCCGGAGTTACTGGCGCGTTTTTTGCGGGTTTTTTTTTTGACGGGCCCGCAACACCTCCCTTTGAAGAGAGAGCGTACCGCTTCTGGCGAGGATTGACCTGGAGGGATTTCGGTGACCTCCGGATTCTTTCTATTCGTCGGCAAGGTGGGTTCTCGAGATGCGGCGGCGACTGAGCGGCTTCGACCGTGGTCTGTCGTTGTGTGGCCAATCCGAAAGTATCCAACAGGATGTGCAGCGGCAGGCGCACGGGATAGCTGGCTGGCATGGAGGTTTCTTCGTGGCGCGGACGAAGTTGATTGCGATGGCGAACCCAGGTGTCATCACCTACGGAGACATCATGAAGCATGTCACCTCGCCTGGCTGTCACTGTTGCTTTGATCCAGCGAGGATGACCTGCTCGGTAATCACGAGCGTAGACTGGGGCTCCGACGGCGAAATCTTTGTGTTTGGTGCCGGCACCAGAGTGAGTAGGTGGCTTCTCTGTCGGAATGAGCGCATCGTTTGTGGTGCGTAGCTTGCGGCCCATCAATGCTTCAGCTGGTGACTGGCATCCTGGCGTAGCTGGATTCGGTGTGGACCGGTACGAGAGTAGGAAGGCTTGAAGACACTCATCCACGGTCCCCTCCCCGCGAGATTTCAAAAGCGCCCTCTTGAATGTGTCGACAAATCGCTCCGCTTGACCGTTGGACTGGGGATGGTACGGCGGTGAGCGGAGGTGTTCGATGCAGTGTCGGCGGCAAAAGTCTTCGAAAATGGAAGACGTAAACTGGGTACCATTGTCGGACACCAACACCGCGGGAAGGCCATGTTGACTGAAGATTCGTTGGAGACAAGCCAGAGTGGCGGATGCGGTTGGTGGGTTGACGGCGACCACTTCCGGCCATTTGGAATAGGCGTCGACCATGACCAGGTAGGAAATGCCATCGATGGGACCAGCGTAATCGATGTGCACTCGAGACCACGATTTTGCTGGCGGCTGACAAGGAACTGGTGATTGGTGTGGTGGCATCTTGGATGCTTGTTGACATCGTGAGCAGCGGCGGACCAAATCTTGAATGTCGTTGTCCATGCCAGGCCAATACACATAACTGCAGGCAACTGCCTTCATTCTGTTCATACCGGGGTGAGCAGAATGGAGCTGGCGGAGTACAGCTTGCCGGAGACATGAAGGAACGACAACTCGATCTGCAGTCATGAGACAGGAGTCGACCACGGAAAGGGAGTCGCGGCGTTGATGCAGTTGTTTGAGTTCCCCAGACACAATCCCATCTCCGTCGCCACTGTTATGGATTGTGTAACGCCTGATAAGATTGTCGCTGGCCCGATTGGAGCACGCCTACGATAATTGCTTGTAACGCTGGCCAATCGAACGGAGTTGCGCTGACCTGATGACGCCAGCTTAGCCGGGTGAGACGGAAAATTGAGCGAGTATGTGACCGATCCTAGCCGCAAGTGTTCGAATAGACGCTGGCCCCTTGGAACGGGCGCACACGGGAGGGAGGTACGATAGACGCGCTCTAATGACTTAGCCGCGAAGGATGGCCAGCTAACGACTCACACGCAATTACGTGACCCGACCGACTCCCAACTGAGGCGAAGAGAAAAAAAGACAAGTGGTCATCTGTAGGCTCTTTTACGACCGACAAAGGGCGATCACAGACAGTGCTATGGGTTATTAAGAGGGGGTAGTTTGCAAATGACCATTGTCAAAAGGTTCGCAGTTGGGACGCGCCTCGGAGTGGCTGAACACTGCTGCGTTGTGGGGAGAAATTGGACTCCGCTTCCCACAGCCATTATGCCGGAGTTACTGGCGCGTTTTTTGCGGGTTTTTTTTTTGACGGGCCCGCAACACCTCCCTTTGAAGAGAGAGCGTACCGCTTCTGGCGAGGATTGACCTGGAGGGATTTCGGTGACCTCCGGATTCTTTCTATTCGTCGGCAAGGTGGGTTCTCGAGATGCGGCGGCGATTGAGCGGCTTCGACCGTGGTCTGTCGTTGTGTGGCCAATCCGAAAGTATCCAACAGGATGTGCAGCGGCAGGCGCACGGGATAGCTGGCTGGCATGGAGGTTTCTTCGTGGCGCGGACGAAGTTGATTGCGATGGCGAACCCAGGTGTCATCACCTACGGAGACATCATGAAGCATGTCACCTCGCCTGGCCGTCACTGTTGCTTTGATCCAGCGAGGATGACCTGCTCGGTAATCACGAGCGTAGACTGGGGCTCCGACGGCGAAATCTTTGTGTTTGGTGCCGGCACCAGAGTGAGTAGGTGGCTTCTCTGTCGGAATGAGCGCATCGTTTGTGGTGCGTAGCTTGCGGCCCATCAATGCTTCAGCTGGTGACTGGCATCCTGGCGTAGCTGGATTCGGTGTGGACCGGTACGAGAGTAGGAAGGCTTGAAGACACTCATCCACGGTCCCCTCCCCGCGAGATTTCAAAAGCGCCCTCTTGAATGTGTCGACAAATCGCTCCGCTTGACCGTTGGACTGGGGATGGTACGGCGGTGAGCGGAGGTGTTCGATGCAGTGTCGGCGGCAAAAGTCTTCGAAAACGGAAGACGTAAACTGGGTACCATTGTCGGACACCAACACCTCGGGAAGGCCATGTTGACTGAAGATTCGTTGGAGACAAGCCAGAGTGGCGGATGCGGTTGGTGGGTTGACGGCGACCACTTCCGGCCATTTGGAATAGGCGTCGACCATGACCAGGTAGGAAATGCCATCGATGGGACCAGCGTAATCGATGTGCACTCGAGACCACGGTTTTGCTGGCGGCTGCCAAGGAACTGGTGATTGGTGTGGTGGCATCTTGGATGCTTGTTGACATCGTGAGCAGCGGCGGACCAAATCTTGAATGTCGTTGTCCATGCCAGGCCAATACACATAACTGCAGGCAACTGCCTTCATTCTGTTCATACCGGGGTGAGCAGAATGGAGCTGGCGGAGTACAGCTTGCCGGAGACATGAAGGAACGACAACTCGATCTGCAGTCATGAGACAGGAGTCGACCACGGAAAGGGAGTCGCGGCGTTGATGCAGTTGTTTGAGTTCCCCAGACACAATCCCATCTCCGTCGCCACTGTTATGGATTGTGTAACGCCTGATAAGATTGTCGCTGGCCCGATTGGAGCACGCCTACGATAATTGCTTGTAACGCTGGCCAATCGAACGGAGTTGCGCTGACCTGATGACGCCAGCTTAGCCGGGTGAGACGGAAAATTGAGCGAGTATGTGACCGATCCTAGCCGCAAGTGTTCGAATAGACGCTGGCCCCTTGGAACGGGCGCACACGGGAGGGAGGTACGATAGACGCGCTCTAATGACTTAGCCGCGAAGGATGGCCAGCTAACGACTCACACGCAATTACGTGACCCGACCGACTCCCAACTGAGGCGAAGAGAAAAAAAGACAAGTGGTCATCTGTAGGCTCTTTTACGACCGACAAAGGGCGATCACAGACAGTGCTATGGGTTATTAAGTTAAGGAAAACTGTCACCACGAAGAGGGGGTAGTTTGCAAATGACCATTGTCAAAAGGTTCGCAGTTGGGATGCGCCTCGGAGTGGCTGAACACTGCTGCGTTGTGGGGAGAAATTGGACTCCGCTTCCCACAGCCATTATGCCGGAGTTACTGGCGCGTTTTTTGCGGGGTTTTTTTGACGGGCCCGCAACACAGGCACCGTAAAACCACCGCCTCTTCGAACTTCATAGCTGGGATTTCACTATACCGACACTCGGGTAGGACTTGCTGAATCCGTGCAATGAAATCAACGACACTTTCTTCAGGGTTATGACGCAAGGTCGAGAAAGAATACCACGCAGTGTATGTGTTCAGTCGTAAACCCCATAACCCGTTGAGGACTTCTAGCGCGTTGTTGACTATCGTCTTCTCACCGACATGGAGGGCATCAAAATATCTGACCTTCGTCCCCCAGAAATGGTCTCAGTAATTTCATTTTGTGGCTCTCTGAGAGTACCGTGTTTGGTTGCAAGACGGGTAGTAGCTCCAAATAATCCAAAAAAGTGCGCTTCCAGCGGTTTCACGTATGCGGTGTTGGTTTTTCAGAGGGAATATTCCCACTTAGTGTAGGAAGGTGCATTGCAATAGTTTAACCTCGTCGCCAAAATGTATGGCCTTTGGCTGATGAACGGAACAGGACGCGCTCGTGTAGTATGAAACCGATTTACTAAAAACTTCCTGCGTTACAGTGGCTAGAAAACCCGGAAAGAAAAACCAATGAAATAAGGAAAGTAAGGCAACAGCTCATGTGAGTGCTTGTGTTCACGAATCGATACTCAAGTAGCTACGTGACAGTCACTCACCGCGATGGGGCTTTTCTTTCCTTTTCCTTCTTCATTGCTTCTTTTTGTCAGCTGGGTGCTGTGCACATTGCATCTCCTTTTACGTTTGACCACTATTTTCTATTGTATATCAAACAGTGTTGCTGTTGCGTTGTTTCTCTGTCGAACTTGATGCACGTGGTTTGCTGTTTTCTAGCGGACTGCTACGTTCTCTCACTGGCGCAGCGGCTAGTATCGCGCGTAACCTGGACTATCTATCCTTGGATGCTCAACACCGGGAGCGACAAGAATACGCACGCCGTAAACAATTACCCCGCGACTTCACTGAGGGTGTTCAGCAGGGACTCAGTGGCCTTGGTTTGTGTTTGTTGAGCGCCGTTGCCGGAGTTGCGGACCACCCACTGCAGGTTTTTTTTCAAGCACTGGATGGCCCGGAGCAAGGAAACAAGCCAACCAACGAATGTTCTAATATTTTGCAGCCCGGAATCGTTTGGACCGCTTTAGGTGGACTGGGACGCGGTCTGATTGGGGCCGTGGTCAAACCTGTCGCCGGGATGGCAGAGTTCATCGCTCGAACTGGCACTGGGTTGTTACGCAGCGGTGATTTTGCATACACCGCTGTAGCATTGGAACAGCTTAACGAGTAAGTATACCCATTCTTTCAACTTCATGCATTAACGTGTGCGCGTGAATTGCCCGAAGCTCAAGGTTACCGGAGATATTCTGCTTCTTCCAATTTTGTGCTGAGATTTTAAACTGCATGAATGACTGCGTATGTTAGTTGAACAGAACATCCATCACGGTCCATCGCCCGATGTTGACGGACAAATATTTAGCTAAATGATGGTATCCCGTGCGAATTTTCAACTGGTTATAGGTAAAATTGTGTGATCAATCCTCAGTAACTTACGAACAAAATGAACATTGTTACTGCATGCATGTATCCCTGATACCTTCTCACTGTCGACGAAGTTCTGCATGAGTGACACTAAGGTGACA